TTGCTGGCTTTAGTGGTGCGTACATTTGAATAATACGTCTTCCTTGTAGGTATATGGATATTACCTTATCACAGACAGTGCTGTACTTCAAGATGGATCTTGATATGTTCTTTTTGATGATGAATGTAATGCTATTCCTCCTTAATTTCTTATTCCTGGCATAGTAAACCATGTGATTGTCAAATTCAAAATGGCCAGTATCTGTCCATCTCAGCTCACTAATGCCTAGGATATAGATGTTTATGTGTTCCATTTCATTTTTTTGTTGTTGTTGTTGTTTACAATATCCGGTTTTCCTAGACCTATACCTCGTACATTCCATGTTCCAATTACTCACGGATGTTTACAGCTGTTTCTCTTCATTTTGAGTTGTGCCCCGTCAGCAAATGAAGGTCTCAAAGGCTTTACTCCATTTGTGTCATCACGGTCAACTCTACTTTGAGGAGGCAGCTCTTTCCCTGTCATATTTTGAGTGTCTTCTAACCTGAGGGGCTCATCTCACGGTGCTATATCTGACAATATTCTGGCGCTCATCATCATATTTCAATATTTAGTATTCTGGTGTTGATAAGTGTCCCACTGTTATTCATAAGGCTTTCAGTGACTAAATATTTAGAAGGTGTCATCTTTCCTTCTTCCTAGCCCATCTTCATCTTGGAAGCTCACCTGAACCCTGTCCACCATGGGTGACCCTGCTGGTATTTAAAATACCTGTGGCATAGCTCCCAGCATCACAGCAACACGCAAGTCACCACAGTAGGACAAACTGACAGACAAGTGGTATGGGGTGTAAATCATTGGAGTTCTTAAATGATAGTACTGTCAGTTGGCCTCAGCTGCATTCTATGTTAGGATAAGACACCCACCCCCCATCTTATTTGTAAGCAAAGCTTTATTGTGAAAATATATGAAATAATGGTATTATTGGCAATAAATTATGACATTGTGCTAGTAACACAGAGAAAATGCTACAACAACTATTTTGAAGGTTTATAAACTTAAACAATTTTAAATAACCATATTCTCTTCACCTATATTTATCACTAATTACACTTTGTTTGTTTGTTTGTTTGAATAACTGGCTCATATACTTATACCCATATATACTTTTTAACCATTTCAAGGTAAGTTTCAGGCATTGTGGTACTTCATCTCTAAATACTTGAGCATGAATTTCTTAAAAATGAAAACATTGTCTTTGTAATTGTCACACTTAAGACACTTGACATTTCACAAAGATAACTACTGTTATGTACAGAACCCTGCAATAACAACAACAATAACGGGTGGATACGTAGACACACAAATTTGAACAGGTGTGGGAAGGTAAATGAGACTACAGCCGCAGATATATCTAGGTTGACAGAGGATATTTCTACATGTGTATTTTGTTTGTTGTTGTTAAGTGCCATCGAGTCAGTACCAACACATAGCAACCTGTAGTGAATTTCCAAAGAGCGGCTGGTAGTTTTGAATCCTCAACTGGCTAGTTAGCATCTAATGTTTATCCTACCGCGTCACACCAGGACTCCACACATACGTTTTATAGGATGTGAATGTTTTGAAGTATATAGAAGAATGTACGGGAGCAAGCGTATGAAAACTTCTTAGCCATAACAGACAGAGAGAGAATGAATGCTAGGCCTAGAACCTCAGGCTCTTAGGCTAGGGGAACATCAAGGTCTATTGACAGAACATAACCCACGAAGACAATATTCTGTATCCTATTTTGGTAAGAAGTAGGGACTTAAAAGTTTGTGAGCAGCCATCTAAAGTGCAAACTATTGGTCTCTTCCCATCTGAAGAAAATCAAAGATTCATGGAAACAGTTCAAAGGACTAATGGACCTACATGACCCTAATACCAGAAGAATTAGGTGGTGCCTGATTGTCACTACCAACTGCTCTGAAATAAATCATAAATGAATGTTCTGGATACAGCAGAAGGAAAATGTGGAACAAAACTTCAAAATCATTAAAAAAAAAAAAAAGATTAGGCTTTCTGATCTCAGAGACTGGTAAAACCCTTGATACTATGGCCCTTAGTCACCCTTCAAGCCTGGAAATGAACTTCACCCTTGTGGTTCAACTTTCAGCCACACAATTGATAGGCCTATAAAGTGAACAGTTACACCAGGAAGAGTGAACAATCAACCATACAATATCAAAAAGGCAGTGTTTGCCCAAGAATAAAGCTCAGACTCCAGCAAGTAGTATAGGGAAGAAGGACTAACAGAAAACACAGGGAAGAAGTGTGAAGAGTGATGTTGCATTCTGGGGAATTGCAGGTAATGCCACAAAACAAAATGTATGTCACTTGTTGAATGGAAAACCAATTTACTCTATAACTTTCACCCAAATCATAATTGTTGTTAAGCGCCGTAGAGTTGGTTCTGACCCACAGCGATATTGTATAGTGTTTCCAAGGAGTGACTGGTGAGCTTGAACCACCAACCTTGCAGTTCAAAGTGACTTTGCAGTCCATTGTATTAACCTACAGTGCCATACCAGGCCTCCCTAAGTCACAGTAAAAAAGTAAAAAAAAAAAAAATTAAAATAAATTGACATTAAATCAGTAATATTCTGTATTCTATATTCAGATTTCACTTATCCCCAAAATATCTCTGATAGCTAGGTTTTTTCCTTTTATTGTCTAATCCAATATTATCCAGTCACAGTTTTGCTTCTTTTGTCATTTACTTGTTATGTCTCTCTTTGGATGTTTGATTGTGGTTTAGGTGAAAGGTTACAATGCAGATTACAGCCCTTTATACATAGGTTGTTTCCCCACTTCTATCCAGGGTTTCCCATTCCCATTCACCCAGCTTTCCTGCCCCTTCCTGCTTCTCTGTTTTACTTTGGGGCAAATGCTGGCTTTTGGCCTCATACAGTTAAATGTAAAGGAGCCCTGGTAGCATAGTGACTGGAAGGTCAGCAGCTCAAATCCACCAGACACTCCGTGGGACCCAGATGAGTTTTTTTGCGTCTATAAAGATTTGAAGCTTTGGAAAGCCTGTACAGGTAGGTCCGATATGAGTTGGAATGGACTTGATGGCACACCACCACCACCATAGTTGAGTTTTCTGAAGAATACTTTCCTCACAGGTATTAGTGTTTATGTTATGGGCCTACCTATTATTTGGCTGTAAGAGGGTCTCCAGGGGTAGATTCAGTTCAGTGAAGGGTGTCTAAGGGCCATAGTACCAGTAGTGTGACAAGTCTCTATCGTACCAGTCAGTAACTCCGTCCCGTGGGGAGTTTAGTTCTGAGTAGGAAGTTTTCTTGACTGCACTCTGTGTGTTCTTTTATATATATGGATATAATTGTAGCACATTCAAATATGTAGAGAGTAGGAGTAGCAATATTCATTTTGGATAAAACAGATGGTAAACATGTGTCAACTTTGGTGGAGGGAAAGACAATGTGCAAACTGGGAGGAGTCAGCACAAGATGACCAAGGCAAAGACAATGAGAGGTTCATAACCACCATATGCAGAAGTACAATCACATGAGTGATTGTATGTATGAGGTAGGTTTGGAACTGGCTATTTCTACATACATAAACTCTGGTAGCATAGTGGTTATGAATTGGGCTGCTATCCTCAAGGTCAGCAGTTTGAAACTACCAGCTGCTCCGCGGGAGAAAGATGAGGATTTCTGCTCTCGTAAAGATTTGTAGCCTCGGAAACCCTGTGCAGGGTCGCTAGAGTCTTGGTGTGACACTGTTGAATAACCACTGGACTGCTCAACACGGTTGGTGGTTCAAACCCACCAGCTGCTCTTTGGAAACTCTATACAGGGTCACTAAGAGTTGGAACTGATTGGAAAACAACAACTCTCATTTGGAAACTATTTGTTTGATTCCCCCCCCCCATCCTTTTGAATATTAGCTTTGTTTATGTCTTTGTGTCTAAAATGTATCTCTTGTAGGCAACATATTGATGCTTTTTTATCTCTCTCACACGCTGTCTTTTAACAGAGTACATTTAATCCATTTACATTCTGTATAATAATTGATAGATAGTGCTGTTTTATACTTTTTATGTGTGGTGGGAATTATGATTTCTTTGTTTCCCTTAATTTTCTGTGCTGAGTTCTTTTTGTATATGGATTTCCCTTTCTAGGATAATAACCACAAGGTCAGCAGTTCAAACCCACCAGCTGCTCGCTGGAAACCCTGTACAGGGTCACTTTGAGTTGGAACAGACTCGATGACACTTAACAGCAGCAGCATCAATTGTTATTGTATTTGTGTCTGCTGAGCCTTTTTGGGTTTTCTACGTACTGACGATGTATAAAATTTATTACTTTTCTTTGTGGTTACTTTAAAGTTTACATTAGTCCTCCTAAAACAGTCTTATGTGTTGAAATTGCCTTAAATTCTCCCCATGTAAAAATTCTATAACTGCATCTTTTATTTTCACTTTCTGTTTTAAAGTTTTCCTTTACAGATTAATTGCTCTGGCTGCCTATCCATGGGCCTTCACTCTATGTATCTTCTTGCTCACTGTTTTCAATCAGTTTGTTTTCCAGTTGGTGTTCTATCTTAATTCTTTATCCGTTCATTTGATGCTCAGAGTTCCAAGATTTTCGTCAGCATGTTTCACGTGGTTTTTCAGGTCTTTGCAATAGAGGGATGATAGTATGGTATGTCTCACTAAGCTGCCTTTTTAATCTCGCCTCTTTTCCAGTTTCTTCGACTCATTTTTGTTTTGTTTTTTAATGCCGGAGAGTTTATTTTTTTGACAAGCCCAGGTCAGTTGTTTATAGAATGTCCCACATTCTGAAATTTTCTTATTGTTTCTAAATTATTAGATATGCATGATTTATCACATTAAACATTTTGGGCAATAATAACACATCTGTGTGTTTTTGTATACTTCTGACTATCCCTTATCAGGAAACACCTAATATCAATTTACGGTTTTTAATGTATTAATTTATAAGAAGCAGTAATGCAGATTGAATTGCTTGAATTTTTTTTTTTCATTTTTCATGTAGACAACAACGGAGCGACCTTTCATTCAGAAGCTGTTTCGTCCTGTGACTACAGATGGACAGTTACACACACTAGGAGATCTCCTCAAAGAAGTTTGTCCTTCAGCAGTTGCTCCTGAAGGTAATCAACAACATCAAAACATTTCTTTCATCTTTGTTTTAAAGCCTTTGTTACTGAGCAGTTTACATTTATGAATAACGTTCTAGTACTGGGTTATTTTAGGAAGATTTTTTTATTACCTTGTAGGGAAAAATCTTTTGAAACAGAAGCATTTAAAAGTTTATATTTTATAAAAAAAGCATTCACAAAATCTAGAATTGAATCTCTTTGAACAGTGACCCATAAATACATTCTTCTGTTCTATAACTTCTCATTTTCTTTGAAGCATAGACTTTTTAATTTTGATGAAGTTCAGTTTTATCAAATTATTTTGTTGTTGTTGGAGTGTGCTCTGTTAAATAATTAAAAAAATTAATTTCTCAAAATAGAGAGTACACTTATATAGTTTTAAAATAAAGGAATTGTATGAGAAGTTTCTCTCTCAACTCCTGTCTTCTAAAACCTAAGCCAGCTCCCCATTCTAGAAGCTACCAGTGTTAGCAGTTTTCTTCCATATACTTCAGCAATGGGAACTCAGGCTAGAGACATTTTGACTGGGAAATTCACAGTCATTTTAATGAGTAAATGTAATGCTTATTTTGTCTGTGCTGTAAGGAAGAGTTGTTTTTTTATCCTATCTAATGTCTATTGTGCTACAATTTTGAGGATTGGGGGATATAAACTAACTGTTCTATTTAAAGTATCATCAAGAGATGAATAATTTTATTCCTGTCAGAAATGAGATTCATCAGCTTCATTTATACCTACCAACTATAAGCACTGACTTTTAGTTATTAATTTCTCTGTAATGTATTTTTCTCTTTTTGAGTCATCATTGTTAAGTGCAGTCGAATCGATTCTGACTCATAGTAACTCTGTATAGGGTTTTCAAGGAATGACTGGTGGGTTTGAACCACTGACCTTATGGTTAGCAGTGCTTATCCTACAGCACCACGCCAGAACTCCTCTGTTTTAGTACTTTGTGGTATTTTAAAGAACATTGAAAAAAAAAAAATAGTGTTATCAGTTTGTTGTTAGCTGCTGTTGTATCATGTCATGGTGACCTCAACACACAGTTGGATGAACTGTGCTGATCTGTTGTAGATTGGACTGTTGTTATCCATAAGGGTTTTCGTTGGCTGAATTTCCAAAGTAGATTGATTGCCAACTCTGTCTTTCTAGTGCATCTTAGTCTGGAAGCTCCACTGAAACGTGCTCAGTTTCACAGCAGCATGCAAGCCACTGCTGACACTTAGTTGGGTGTTAATTTTTTATTTGATTTCTTTAAAGAGTCAAATAACTGGTGGTGGGTATGTGCTGTGGAGTCGGTTCCAACTCATAGCAACTCTGTGTAGAGTTTCTGAGGCTGTAAATCTTTACGGGAGCAGAAACCTCATCTTTCTCCCGCGGAACCATTGGTGGTTTCGAACTGCTGACCCTGAGGTTTACAGCCTGACTCGTAACCACTACGCTGCCAGAGCTCCTTGTCAAATTACTGTGGTTGGTTGGTTGTTATGTGCTGTGGAGTCACTTCTGACTCATAGCAACCCTGTACAGGGTTTCCGAGACTGTAAATCTTTTGGGGAGCAGAAAGCCTCATCTTTCTCCAGCGGAACAGAAGGTAGTTTCGAACTGCTAACCTTAAGGTTCACAGCCTGATTCGTAACCACTACGCTACCAGAGCTCCTTGTCAAATAACTGTAGAGCCTTAGAATTCATTTAGTTTGGTCTCTTTAGTTTTTTAGATGGTTTGTAATAGGTTTCTCGTCTGCCTCATTGAGAACTAGGTATAAAATTCAGGTCTGCACCTTCTGGTTCATTGATTTTTCCATGTCACCATGCTACTAGCTGTTTTTGCTACGGTTTTTTTTTTTTTTTTTCACTTTTTAGTTTAGTTTAAGATACCATTCTAAATTGCTTGCTTTCTCTAACTGTTCTATGGTTATATGCTTTCTTCTGCTTTATCTGGTGTTTCCTGGTTGGTGTGTTAAGTACTGCCAAATCGGTTTTGACTCATAGCGAACCCCGTATAGGATTAGAATGCTTTCAGATAATACTGGCCACTGAATTTATTCAGACAGTAACTGTGACCATCCGGTGTGGAAATGGAATGCAGTCACACACTTTGAACTTATGTCCTTGGTCTAAATGTGCCTTCTCTCTTTTGCATTTTCACTGGCATGTCACAACAGTATATTACAAGGTTAATTTGGATCCTACACAAGAATGACTTTCTATTGTGTAAGAGAATGGGTATTCTCCTAAAACTGTAACCCTGACCTTTCTGAACACCCCTTCCTAGAGAGACCACAGTGTGTCTTCCTTTTATCTTTTTTGTCCCTTTATCATTAATCTTGGCGATAAAGAATCACCTAATACTTAGTCTACTAACATTTATCTTGTCTAAAAATCAAATGTTAAATTGATTATTTTCATTGTTCTCCAGTAGTAAAGGTGATGAGATTACTGGACCTATGATTTCCCCTCCTTAATTATTGTTGTTTATCTTAAGACGTTAATTAACCTGATTTTTAATAATTCGTTTTTAACACTCAAAACCAATATTCCCTTTGTACAGTAATAGTGCATGCAGGCAGTAGAAAGCAAGTTATCTCTTCATTAAAACAAGTCCTGTGGGATCTCAGTCTGGCCATATATAAACAGTACAATTGTAGTCTATATTTTAAGTAAGTGTAACTATTAATTTTGAACTATTCTATAGCTCACACTTGACAAATATTAATGAGCCATATTCTACCCATTAGAACTCTACTGGGTCATTGTATGACAGTAGATCAAAAACTTTTGAATTTGTGTTTCCAATGTGTATTTCAGGATTCTTCTCCCCCCTTTTGAGAATAAGGTTAATTTCTAATTTTTATCACATATTTTTATCTTATCAGGAATACGTTAATTTGTAAACATGGTTTATTATAACCACTTAATACAATTTTTATAATTACAGCTAATTAAATAGGATATATCATACATTAAAATTTTGGTTTGCATCATTACTAAAACGTTAATAAAAGTGCTAAGCAGAAGTCTGTGGAACAGTTACCATGCACGTATTTTTTAAACCTTGTTAAAAGTTAAGAATCAAGACGGGAAGTAGTCTAGTGGAGCAGAAATATATAAAATAAAAGATTTGTGCATGGAGAGAGATGCATGGTATATATTAACTGTGATATTATATATTCATTAAGACCTATACTGCTAAGTAGTATAGATCCGGAAGAAGTTAATGTAAGTATTCTTAAATGGGTTTGTATTTCTCTGATAAACAGCACTCTCCTTCTGTTTGTGATCATAGGATGAAAGCTCTGTAAGCTTGTATATGTACATTTTTACTGCTACATCGTGTAGTGTGCTCTTAAGATTGAGATCTCATTCCCCAGGAAGCATTTCTGTCTAAGATTAATTGCCCTTTTAAAATCAGCGTTTGATGTATTCCTTTGGCTATATCCTGACTTGGTTTAACCCTCTTTGACCTGACCTCACTGACTATTACTGCTGTGACTGAGTCAAAATCCTTCAACATGATGTATGCACTTCAGATTTTAGCCTGTGGTTTTTCATGTCAATGGATTCAATTAGTTGACATTTTACTAATGAACATATCAGGTTAAAGACTTTGTCAGCCAGAATAAAATTGTTCAGACTTGTGGCAATCAAAAATCTCTTCATCTCATTCTTTAAAACTTTTTCTGAATTATTAAATATTTTTCAGAAGTCTTAACCTTCAGCATCACATGTAGCAAATCATATCGTTTTCTCCTGAATTATAAAATATACATGTGAAGCCGTACAGCTAACAGCATGGATTGCAACCATTGATCTTAAATTTATTTCATATTCACAAGTATAAACAAAAATATGTTGTTAGGTGCCATCAAGTCAGGTCTGACTCATAGTGACCCTCTGTAGCGTTTCTGTGAGCAGCTGTGGTGAGTTTGAACCACTGACCTTGTGGTTCAAATAGATCTTAAGGCCCACTGCTTATCCTACAGCACCACACCAGGACTCATAAACAAACATATATATGTATATATATGTATGTATGTTGAATTAAACAAATTTTCTGATTAAAGGCACTGTGAATGTTCACTGAAGATATACTGTCCTCTTTCAAATTAAAATAATTTCCATGTATTTAGTATACTTACTACTAATAATTGGAAAACTCAGACATCTAACTAGGTTCTCAGGTAATCTGTTTTTAAAGACATTTAGATCATGTTCTTTGTTGAAAATTGGCTAAAGGATGAGGCTGAGGAGATATTACACCAGCTATTGGTAGTTGTTGTTAGGTGTCATCAAGTCAGTACTGACTCATAGCGACCCTGTGCACACAGACGAAACACTGCCAGGTCCTGGGCCAACCTCAGCTATTGGTAGTAGAAATGTCTAAAACACAGACCCCTCACAAACAATGATAAATTGTTCTCAAACAGAGATACACTTAAAAATATGAAGCATAGAATGATATATTTTTAAAGTATAGTATAAAATGATATATTTAAAAATAATAACATAAACATTTTGGAAAGGTTTTATTATTCCTTCCAAAGTTTTCATTTCTTCTTTTCTGAATGTTTTCTTCTTTTTAAAAATAAAGAACTTTCCCTTACGTCTATTAAATAACAGAGTCCTGGTGTAGTGCTGTGGGATAAAGCACTAGACTGCAAAGTCGGTTAGAACCACAGGGTCAAGTGGTTCAGACTCATCAGCCACTCCTTGGAACTCCTGTACAGGGTTACTATCAGTCGGAACTGACTCAATGGCACTTAACAGCAACAACATTAAATACCGTAAGAATAGTACAATAGGGCTCATTTGACTTCAAGATGATGTCCCTGGATATATATAAATTTTTGTTTGGTAATGGTATTTGTAAAAGTCTTTGTGCCATACTGCATAAAAAATGTTGCTGTTAAGTGCCATTGAGTCGGTTCTGGCTCACAGCAGCCCTGTATAGAGTTTCCAAAGAGCAGCTGGTGAGTTTGAACCACCAACCTTGG